AAGTCACAAGTCACAATCGACTTGAGAATGGTCCAGGACGGACCGAAACGTCGTCGTCCCTTCAATTTCTAGTGTGTGGTCTGGTCAACATTCATCAAGTATTTACGTATCCACTTGAGGAACCTGTACATCTCTCTCCTCAAGTCATGACGGCTTCGTTTACATTCATTAAACAGTTGACGAGCTTCGAAACTTCACAACCCAAAGCTTTTGTTATTATTAACAACCCATGTTGTACACAGACGTTATGGGTACGAGACGTGCTTGTACCCTGGATGACACGACAAGCACACTGTTGCTGTGATTGTTTTTACAACTGCCTACAATGTGATGTCTGAAGTAGCTTGTAATATTAAATGGAATGTAATTTTTGCCAATGATAATAACTCTTGTATAAAATTTGTGTGGATTCCATCCCATGTTGGAGTTGGAAAACATGACTTTGTAGATCAATTGGCCAATGAGGCTTGCAGGAAAGAAAACACTGATTATGACTTTGGACTATCTAATGCAGTTATTAGAAACATACAAATTAAAGAAATTAATTCAGATTTAGAAGAACTAAGAAATGCCCAGAGACCTGAAAGCTGCAGTATTAAAAGTTATGACAAGTTGTGTAATAATAGGTATTTGTATGGTCAGCACAGTAACCGGACCAGGCAATGTGATGTAGTCATTGCTGTAATTCGCCTTGGCTATAGACACATCTGGCAGGTTAGTGAGGCTGAGCCACTACCAGAATATTCAGATTGTAAACTCTGTGATAAACCTTTAATGCGTTCACTAGAACAGTATATTGATGAATGTGAAACCGTAGAGGACTTTAGACCTCCTGGCCTCTTGTACCACCAACTGTGTAACTATTTTATTGACTCAGGTGTTCTGGACGACATCCTAACAATTTACCCAAAATTTGCTTGTCCATTTTAAAGAATGAAGAACAGTTTTTATTTATATTACTTCTAAGCTGTATCACTTATGAACCCATCCCTGCCCTTGTGTGGCAGTGCACAATAGAAAGTTGCTTTCACATATTCATACATTAAAACATTGATTGTAACCATGATATGTGCTCCAGCCTACAGTTTAGACCTATTGTCTTATGTATGACCCTCTGTCCTGCGTGACAGTGAATACTAGCATTATCCTCAATTTAATAAGACTATCAAAATCCGCAGATTAGGCAAAATTGTAATTAATTTTGTCAATAAAGATGTTAATAATAATAAGCCTACAGTGTGGCACAGTGTGGGGAAGGGCAGGCAACCCGACCTTCTAATACAAGGTCACATTTTGTCCTCTACCAAAGGGGCAAAAATTGTCGTACTAGAAAGTGGAAGTGGCTCGCGAAATTGACACACTGTCCCGTTTTCTGTTCTCTGGTAGGTTAGGGTAAGGGCACTTTACTACGACAATTTATTGACGTTGGGAAACCTTAGGAAGACAGATTGATGATTGATAAAGATTAAGCCACCCAAAAGGTGGCACGGGCATGAATAGCCCGTAAGTGGAGGCCCTTTTGAGCCATTACCAGTATCAAGAGCTGATACTGGAGATCTGTGGAGGTGCGACTGCACCCTGCGTGACGGGAGATGTCTCCCGTGAGGAAGACAGGCTGCCTGTAATGTAATCTACTGAGGATGGAGCGAGGTAGAGGGGTAAGGGGACGTAGCCCCCCCCACAGAGGGGGGAAACGCAGTTACACACACGTTCCTAATCTTTGAAAAAAGACTTTCTCAAGTGACACAGAAAAATCATCATGACTGACTGCATCTGAAAAAAAAGAAACTAAGCTCGCGGGTGGCCATTCCTCTTCCGCGAGCTACAAGCAGTACGTGATAAGCCTGCTGCTGTCAACCAACAATCTTATGAAACAAAAACCACATTGAGAAATTAGTTTTGTTTTAATTTGTTCATTAATTTGGGAGGCCGGAGTGTTTGGTTAGACCCGCTGTGGTATAACCCCACTGACGGGCAAATGACGTTAACATAATTAATTAGGTTATCTTGAGATGATTTCGGGGCTTTTTAGTGTCCCCGGGGCCCGGTCCTCGACCAGGCCTCCACCCCCCAGAAAGCAGCCCGTGACAGCTGACTAACACCCAGGTACCTGTTTTACTGCTAGGTAACAGGGGCATAGGGTGAAAGAAACTCTGCCCATTGTTTCTCGCCGGCGCCTGGGATCGAACCCAGGACCACAGGATCACAAGTCCAGCGTGCTGTCCGCTCGGCCGACTGGCTCCCTGTCAGTGGACACAATATCCAAGCGTAACGTGGAACCAAGGCCACTCTTGGATATTGTGCGCACTGGAGGGGTTATGGACGCTGGTGCAAGAATCATAACATCATTAAGCAAGTTCTACTCGTAATTGATCAAATTAAATAAAATAATTCCATGTCATATCCCGAATGAACGATCATTATCCCGATTATATAATCGGGATAATGAAACATATTTACCATCTGACACGAGTTTTGCAAATAGGGAATCAATCACGTTGCAGGCGATGAGTCACAATAACGTGGCTGAAGTATGTTGACCAGACCACACACTAGAAGGTGAAGGGACGACAACGTTTCGGTCCGTCCTGGACCATTCCCAAGTCGATTGTCTACTTCAAAATGGTCCAGGACGGACCGAAACGTCGTCGTCCCTTCACCTTCTAGTGTGTGGTCTGGTCAACAATCAATCACGTTAAGCTTGGCATTTTCTCCCACAGTTGACAACAGTCCAACTTTCGCCAACATTTAAATCAAGCGAAATTTGTGTATAAAATAACATTCGTCTTGAAAACGTCCGTGCATGTGCAAGAGGCGCCGGTGCAGGCGTGACTGTCAATATGACTGTATATATAGCTTACAAACTGAATTGCCAGTTGTCACTGTCATTCACAAGGGGAGTTCATCAACAACTGGCCGTTGTAAGTTATCCAGTGGGGCCAAACCATGCTAGAGTAACGTCGAATCAACGTTGAAACGACTTTGTTTGACCAACATCTGCTGACTGGGTCAGTGAGCAACCCCCCCCCCCCACACACACACACACACACACACACACACACACACACACAGGGGTCTCGCAGCCTGATGGATAGCGCGCAGGATTCGTAATTCTGTGGCGCGGGTTCGATTCCCGCACGAGGCAGAAACAAATGGGCAAAGTTTCTCTCACCCTGAATGCCCCTGTTACCTAGCAGTAAATAGGTACCTGGGAGTTAGTCAGCTGTCACGGGCTGCTTCCTGGGGTGTGTGTGTGTGTGTGTGTGTGGTGTGGAAAAAAAAAAGAAAAAAAAAAAGTAGTTAGTAAACAGTTGATTGACAGTTGAGAGGCGGGCCGAAAGAGCAGAGCTCAACTCCCGTATAAACACAACTAGTAAACACACACACACACACACACACACACACACACACACACACACACACACACACACACACGCGCGCCTCCAAGCTGTTGTATCTATGCTGTTAACAAGTTTAAAGCTTAGCCATTGAGTGCTGGCGTAGTTCTCACAGCTTTGTTATAACAGGGTAATTTAAGCGTTTTCTGAACAAAACTTGTGGAGACTCAAGGAGGGGGGAGGGGGGGGGGTGAAGGGCCACACACTGTCTATGAACAATTTGATGCTGTTATCGAGCCGGTAAGTTTATGTGAACAAAAGCTACAAAGTGATGTAGGGAGGGGGGCAGGGGCCAGATTCACGAAGCAGTTACGTAAGCACTTACGAACCTGTACATCTTTTCTCAATCTTTGCCGGCTTTGTTTACAATTATTAAACAGTTAAGGAGCACCAGAAGGCTGTTAATAACAATAACAGTTGATTGGGAAGTTTTCATGCTTGTAAACTGTTTAATAAGTGTAAACAAAGCCGTCAAAGATTGAGGAAAGATGTACACGTTCGTAAGTGCTTGCGTAACTGCTTCGTGAATCTGGCCCCAGGACTCGTCAAGCATTCATGCAACGACTGACGAAGCCTGTACATCTTTCCGCAGTGATGGCCGCCGCTTAGTCGACATTTATACAACAGTTTACGAGCACCGGAGCTATACGAGGTCGTTCACATCGACAACCTTCCCTTGTTAAGTGTTGAAGATAAGTGTTGTATTAACTTGCAGAAAATCGCATGTTCCTCCCCGTCCACCACTTGGGCTGGACGGTAGAGCGACGGTCCCGCGTCATGCAGGTCGGCGTTCAGTACCCGACCGTCCAAGTGGTTGGGCACCATTCCTTTCCTCCGTCCCATCCCCAAATCCTTATCTTGACCCCTGCCAAGTATAATCGTGGTGGATTGAAACTTTCTTCGAGAGTTCCCTTCTTCCCCTTCACAAAATCACTTGAAATCACTTTCAACAAGTGATTAAACATGCTAAAAAAAATAAACGTAAAATATAAGTGTAAATTATGAGGGTCAAACAAGGTCAAACAAGGTCAAACAAGGTCACAACTCGGGTTAATGGGACGCCATTATGGAGATTGACGTGACTTCCGGTCACTGGTCTGCGGGAACCTGAAGCACTTATCCTAAAGCTCTCAGGAAAGTATGTGATTGATAATACTAAAGGAACTTACAAGTATAGGATTAATCCGGGAGACATCTCCCGTCACGCAGGGTGCAGTCGCACCTCCACAGATCTCCAGTATCAGCTCTTGATACTGGTAATGGCTCAAAAGGGCCACCACTTACGGGCTATTCGTGCCCGTGCCACCTCTTGGGTGACTTAATCTCCATCAATCAATCACAGGATTAACGCACCGCTCCTGTGCCAGGTAAGCTTACTACGGGCCCACCAGAGCCCGTGCTACTTGCTCCCTCCTGTGCCAGGTAAGTTACGGGCTCACTATAGCCCGTGCTACTTGCTCCCTCCTGTGCCAGGTAAGTTACGGGCTCACTATAGCCCGTGCTACTTGCTCCCTCCTGTGCCAGGTAAGTTACGGGCTCACCATAGCCCGTGCTACTTGAAACTTGTTCTAAGTAGGTGAATCTATAACAACAACAACATACAGGATTATTAATCCGTTCGCGGGAGGTGTTGAGGAAGCCGACTTAGGCGTAGTGTTGTGTGGGCGGGTAGTCGGCCATCGTGGCCCTGGCCTGCTGGCCACACACTGTCTTCACAAGACGGCCATCGTGGCCCTGGCCTGCTGGCCACACACTGTCTTCACAAGACGGCCATCGTGGCCCTGGCCTGCTGGCCACACACTGTCTTCACAAGACGGCCATCGTGGCCCTGGCCTGCTGGCCACACACTGTCTTCACAAGACGGCCATCGTGGCCCTGGCCTGCTGGCCACACACTGTCTTCACAAGACGGCCATCGTGGCCCTGGCCTGCTGGCCACACACTGTCTTCACAAGACGGCCATCGTGGCCCTGGCCTGCTGGCCACACACTGTCTTCACAAGACGGCCATCGTGGCCCTGGCCTGCTGGCCACACACTGTCTTCACAAGACGGCCATCGTGGCCCTGGCCTGCTAGCCACACACTGTCTTCACAAGACGGCCATCGTGGCCCTGGCCTGCTGGCCACACACTGTCTTCACAAGACGGCCATCGTGGCCCTGGCCTGCTGGCCACACACTGTCTTCACAAACAATGGTCACACGCTCCTTAATCCACCCGCCAAACCGTTTATGAATGAATAATGCTCGAACGTTCAGCATTGAGTTCGAACGCCATGTTCGAACATTTCTGAAACACGATTTTGATAAGGTCTCTTATCCGAATTGCTCTTCTGGAAATGCTTCAGCGACTTAGTACAAATACACAGCCCGTCCTCATCAACAAAGGCTGTTTATGACTGAAAAACACTCTACACACGACTCGCAACTGATAACGTCCGAACACTTCTCGAACAAGTGCTTCGTTGCCGACCTGTTCGAATCCAAACTGTCAGCCCGTCCTCCAAGCAAAGATCCAAAAGTGATTCCATGTACTCCGCCAAACCCCCTGTTTATGAATGAAAAGCGGTTCACACACGACTCATAACTGCTAACGTTCGAACATATCCGGAACAAGTGCTTCACTGACGAATTTTGTTCGAATCACAACGCTGTAAATGCTTCACCTACGTACTACAAATACAAATAATCGCCAACAGAACCTAAACACCTAACCTAACCTATGCCTATATATACACAATATGCTAATATGTTATAATATTAACTTATACTTGAGAAAATTCCCGTTTTGAATGAACAGCATGTTAAAATTTATGAATGCGTCTGTGGGGTTGACCGCTGGATGTAATGGATATGAGTCGAGGACGGGTTGAAACTGTGTACTGTAAATGCTTCATCCGTGTATTATAGATACAAATAATTTGCCAACAGAACCTAAACACCTAACCTAACTTACTTTTAAATAGATCCAATATTGAAATATATAATAAAAATCATTTATATTTGAAAAAATTCCTGTTTGGAATGATCAGCGTCTTAAAGTTGATGGAATGTGTCTTTACGTCAAGCGCCGGATGGAATGAACCTTACCTGAGGCAACCCGTTCTCGCACTTTCGTATAGTCAATATTGACTTATTAAATACGTGCATATGTGACATACTAATTTATTGTGAATTTTTTAGTTTACCTTGAAAAGCTTCATAGAAAACACCGACCTCACCTAATCTTCTTAGTATGTTAAGATAAGCATTTATTGCTTCGTAATTACAATTATTACTTAACCTATACCTATATAAGGTTTTACCTATAATAGATTACAATTATTACTTAACCTATACCTATAATAGGTTAAGTAATAAGTAATAATTGTAATTACGAAGCAATAAGATGCTTATGTTAACATACTAAGAAGGTTAGGTAAGGTCGGTGTTTTCTATACAGCTTTTCAAGGTAAACTAAAATATTCACAATAAATTAGTATGTCACATATGCACGTATTTAATAAGTCAATATTGACTATACGAAAGTGCGAGAACGGGTTGCCTGAGGATGAGTTGAAGTTTCAGTTATACTGTATATATATTTATATATAATATATATTATATTATCTCATATCCCAGCCCCTTGTCCTCATATCACTTCCATGTGCTATATAGTCATGCTGGCTTAGCACTTTCTCCCCATAATTTCCCTTCCTTCGTAATACAGCAAGTATTTCCGGGTTAAACTTACACACACCGTCAGTGGCGGGACGACGGTGTGTTTGTAAACAGTGACGCGGTGTTTGTGTGTTTTTGTAAATAGTCTTTGTTTGTAGTCAAAGATTTTATTTACACGTTAAAAAAACTGTTAATTAACATGGAGCGTCTAAGCCTACTGTTAATTAACATGGAGCGTCTAAGCCTTATTTAAAATAATTTGTATTTACATAAACTCACAAAAGGTACACAACACAAAACTTCTCGCTTCATGCAGGTCGGCGTTCAATCCCCGACCGTCCACAAGTGTTTGGGTACCATTCCCTTCTTCCCCCCCCCCTGTCCCATCCCAAATCCTTATCCTAACCCCTTCCCAGTGCTATATAGTCGCAATGGCTTGGCGCTTTCCCCCCTGATAGTTCCCTTCCCTTCGAGTTTGTATACTTAGTGGCTGGGAAAGACTAAGGAAACTGAGGGAGCTCAACATACTGGATTAGAAAGAACCAGTGGAGACATGATCACGACATGTAAGGTTTTAAGTGTAATCGACACATTATACCAAAGCACAGATAGGAACTCTAGAGGTTACAGAAACTTGTGTCAGGTTTATAAACACGAGGAATGAGTTAGGAGGAAGAAGTTATGTTAAATTCCTTTTTTTAATGGATATTTGATACGAGAGATTATGGAGTAATTGCATTAAACAACAATTAGTATGAAGGGCAGGACTTGTGAGCTGAATATCGACCCCTGGAAGTACACCCAGGTGAGTACATGCAGGTGAGTACATGCACAGTTACGAGGACAGGCAAATATATACATATTATCTTAACAAACGTTTTCACAATGGAAGGTGGCAAGAGATATGGTCACAACATACCCGATACTAACCGGAGTACACGAAGGTTGGGGACCAAGAGATGAGGGACACGTTAGACAGACAGATATGTGCCAGAAAAAATATAAGGAAATAGTGAGGCCTGGAGTAAGAGACGTAAAGAAAGGTAGAGCACTTGAGGGCCACAGTGTTCAGAGCCTCCAGGACAGGTGAGACCTGCTCCTACACACACACACACACACACACACACACATAGTAGTAGGTATCTATCAGTCTCAGGAGACTATGGAGTTGCGCTCTGGTTATCGGTCTGGAGTGGCCTCTCCAGGGCGCAAAGTCAGAGGTAGATTGATATGGGGGAGAAGCTGTTACCCATGCAGCAGGTCCCCCTCTCCACGGCGCTGAAAGTCTCCAATGGAAAGACAAACGCCAATACGATTGGTTCCAGCACACACAAGAAACAAGGACCTGGAGGCTGACTGGATAGCGCTCGGGGAATCGTAGTCCAAAGGGGGGCCCGGGTTCCATTCCCGGCTGAGGCAGAAAATAAATGGGTAGAGTTTCTTTCACCCTGATGCGCCTGTTCACCCAGCAGTAAATAGGTACCTGGGAGTTAGACAGCTGCTACGGGCTGCTTCCTGTAGATGCATGTATGTGTGCGTGTGTATTAAAAGACACATATGTAGAGGAAAAAAATAGATTGCTTACAAAGGCGGGGTCCAGGAACTAATAACTCGATCCTACAGGCCCAAATAGTAAACACACAGAGAGAGAAAAGTATTTTTTTTCTGAAAAAAAAGACAGACAGAAAAGTCTGAAAAAAATCTTCATCTAGGAACCTGATCTCCCGAGAGAGCCGCAGGTGCGAGCCCCACCCATAACTCGGCCGAGTGAAATTGCTGTGACCTGCAGGAGAAGTGAAGACGCTGGAGGCGACGACACGACCACGTGCCCGAAGGCTCTGATCAAACTCCATTATAGATCCTAAACGCAAGCAGCAAAAGAACTGTGCGCGCGCCGCTAGCAAAAATTCATCGCTGTAAAAGGGAGAACTGCCAGAGGGGTCGAAAACGGATAGTGTGCCCCCCCCCCCCCACACACACACACACAGGAAGCAGGCAAGAACCACTGTACTACATACAAACAGGTGTTACACACAAGCGTTACATTGAGTTTATTTGGACTCGGTAAACTCCCACCAAGCCTAGCCCTGGACCCAAGCTTGAATTGTGAAGATTTTATCTAAAATAGCCATTGCTTGAAGCGGCCACACACACGCACGCACACACACACACACACACACACACACACACACACACACACACACACACACACACACGCAGATTCCTCATCCCCTCCTCCCCCCAAAACACAAACACACAGCCCACTAAATAAAGTGAACAACTCAGCAATAATGTCCAAAGGAACTAGAGAATAGCGGCGTTAAAATTCCCAAGAATAGAAAGTCTTCAGATTTCCTTCCCTGTGTATCTCTATGAGGCTTCCCGGCACCACCATCTTGAGGTTATCTTGAGATGATTTCGGGGCTTAACGTCCCCGCGGCCCGGTCCTCAACCAGGCCTCCCTTTTGTTACACATCCCCAGGAAGCAGCCCGAAGCAGCTGTCTAACTCCCAGGTACCTATTTACTGCCAGGTGAACAGGGGGGCATTAGGGTGAAAGAAACTCTGCCCATTTGTTTCCCCCTTCGCCGGGGGGGGGGGGTCGAACCCGGAATCTTAGGACTACGAATCCCGAGCGCAGTTCACTCAGCCGTCAGGCCCCTCCTGTTATGATAAACCCCATGTATAAGACCACAATGGATAAAACTATTATAAAGAGCTGTAGGATTATCTTGTAACAGGATAATAGGCAAATAGGATCATAGTGCAACAGGATTATATGATAGCAGGGTTATAGGATAACGGGATTACAACGTAATTACAAGTAATAATTATTATTAATTTAAACATGCAACAAAGACTCGGTTTTTTTACATATATTTTTGTATTAATTTTAATTAACAATTTACTAAGGGGAATAATTGTTGTTTATTTCACTGACAGGATGAACGGCGCTCCTCAGTGTCCTAACACCATGGTGCCGTGTTCACTCACAGGATGAACAGCGCTCCTCAGTGTTCTGACACCATGGTGCCGTGTTCACTCACAGGATGAACAGCGCTCCTCAGTGTTCTGACACCATGGTGCCGTGTTCACTCACAGGATGAACAGCGCTCCTCAGTGTCCTAACACCATGGTGCCGTGTTCACTCACAGGATGAACAGCGCTCCTCAGTGTCCTAACACCATGGTGCCGTGTTCACTCACAGGATGAACAGCGCTCCTCAGTGTCCTAACACCATGGTGCCGTGTTCACTCACAGGATGAACGGCGCTCCTCAGAGTCCTAACACCATGGTGCCGTGTTCACTCACAGGATGAACGGCGCTCCTCAGTGTCCTAACACCATGGTGCCGTGTTCACTCACAGGATGAACAGCGTTCTTCAACACATGAACACCTGCATGTGTATAGCGACAAAGCGTTCACCTGTGGACCTGCAAGCTTCAACACCTGCATTGTCAAGCACTTGACACAACCCGTCCTCGACTCAAGTCCATTACATCCAGCGGTCAACCCCACAGA